CCCCCTCCCCCAGCGCGGGAGCCGGGAGAAGCCCCCGCCCCGCGCCACGCCCCCCGCATCTTTCCCGGGCCGCCCTCGGGGTGGCTCTGCTGAACTATCTGGTGGCGCCAAAAAGTCCCGGCGGCTTCGAGTGAGCGGGACCCCAGGGTGCTGGGCGAGGGAGCGCGGGCCCTCGGGGACCCCGCCGCGTGACTCCCGCTAATTGTGGAGAAGCGTCACCCTCCAGCGCTCTTCCCCTTCTAGAGCCTGCTGTGGACCTGGGACTTGGGTGTCTCTAGGTGACATCAGGAGGGCGCTCCTGTTGTACTAAGCGGTGCTCCTGTCTAGCGGAGGGAAAAGGGGCTCAGGTGTTGCGGAGGGTGTGTTTGTGTGGTGTGTGTTGTCCCTCCTTGGGCCCGGGTTGTCAAACGCCTAGGACTTAGAAGCACACGTCCTGAAGCCTTGAGCCTGCCGGAGACGAATTCGTTCTAAAAGGGAGAGTCCTCCTCCCCCAACATATGGTAAGGGATTTAGGGAGACCACAGGGAAGCCCAGGGGAGGGACTTCTAGAAAACAACTCCAGTTTGGGAGAAAATGAGCCACATTGATTCCCAAGGTGGAAGCTGGTACCGCTCCAGGGTGGTGATTCTCGCATCTTTCCTCGGGGGGATCAAATCCCCCCTCCACCACGCAGTTTGGCACCAGCCCTGCGGGTTGCTGAGGGCCGACGCGTGCCCCTTTCCTAGCTGCTTTATTTTAGCAGAACCCCTTGAAGAGGGTGCCTTGCACGACCCTTCTGCATCTGTGCGCCTAGTTTTTTATAATACTTGCAAATTGACACTGAACAAGCTTTAACCTCAGTCGTTTCAGAGTAAGTTGGATGTTTTTTAAGTGAGAGGTGAATGGAGCCCCATTCATGAGGGAAATCGTCTGTGAAGTGTTTTGTAAATGTGAGTGGGTTGAGTTTAAAACACCGAGTAAAATTAATGGTAACAAGGAATCAAAAGGTTCGATCCAGATGTTTTGCCTCCTGACTTCTCTGAGAAATTGACAGTGCAGTGCTGTACTCGCCTATGGGGTTGACCCAGAGCAAGGGGTGGGTGGATTCCTTTGGTTCATTTTGCAACCACTAACCCTATTGTGGGGTTGTCACCCACACACCCTCCTCTAACTACTCTAGAAACCTGTGAGGGATTTCCATGTAGTTGAACCTGTAGGTAATCCTTTAATTATAATTAGCTTAACCTCTTGTTTGCTTGCTTGTTAAGATAAGGTACTTGGGTATGCTTATAATACAGGTGGAGTTGTGAGTTTGAACTGGTGATCTCACTAAAACTGCTACTTAGTGTGTGCTTCGAATTAACAGAAAACTCCTTAGCATTTGTGTAGAGGTGATATTGTTTCGCATGAGGGATTCCAATTCATATATTCTTGGTTNCTCACTAAAACTGCTACTTAGTGTGTGCTTCGAATTAACAGAAAACTCCTTAGCATTTGTGTAGAGGTGATATTGTTTCGCATGAGGGATTCCAATTCAGATATTCTTGGTTCAGGTCTGATCCCACCACTCAATTTCTTGGTCCTTTATACCCCCCCCCTTTTATTCCAAATAGACCAATGGGGATACTACCAACCTTTGACTTGGGAATTAAATGGAATACCATATATGTACAGTGCCTGACTTGTGGGCACTCAGTAAATACTCCTATTGTTACCATCCATTAACAGTAGCTATTACCATTACTGCTGTTATATCTGCTTAAAAATAAATACCTATAGCTGGGAGAGAGATTGACGAAAGGGCACAGGGAACTCTGCAGTGATTGAAATATGCTGTATCTTTATTAGGGTGTTGACTACAAGGGTGTATCCCTTTATCAACACTCATCAAACTAAACCCTTAAGATATGTGTGTTTAATTGAAAAAATTAACCTCCAAATGTGTTAAGTACATATCTTTTGGGAGGTAGGAGTTGATATACCAACCTAATTCTGCATATTCTAGTGATTCACTTCCAGAGATCCCTCTGCATATATGCATATCTTCATAAATTCATGTTAGGTGATAGGGAAGGTAGAGAGAAGGAGCACTAATTTTTCCAGTTGGTTTCAGGAGTGATGGTCCATGGAGAAGTATGATTGGCTTGTGCCGAGATTATATTTAATTTGGAACTTGCACATTGTATTAGTTTTTTACTAGTAGCTTTTAAAAAACTAGATTAAAATGTTTTGTTTGATCCAAGAGTACTCATTTGCATAATATAGGGTGGGCCAAAAGTATGTTTATAGTTGTGAGTATACAAAGCGGAGTTTCTTTTTGTATTATTATTAATTATTGTATTACTTTCTATATGAACAACTGTAAACCTACTTTTGCCCCTCTCTGTATATCTATCCAGTAAGCACAGTTTCTGAAAGGTCATAGTGATTTTACATCCCTTTCCTTGCTTTCAATAAATTCTTTGCATTGTTGGTAGTTAAGTGAGATACCTAAAGAGCCTTTAGCACATAGTAAATGTTAACACATCTACCTGTGATTATTAAAGTTGATATGTTCCTAAACATCTTTCATCTGGAGGTCAGAAATCAACACTACAGATTTTGATATCAATAAAGATGGTGTGAAAGTCTATGAAGTAGAGACAAGTGACNACACTACAGATTTTGATATCAATAAAGATGGTGTGAAAGTCTATGAAGTACAGACAAGTGACTAATTGATAATAAAATATAAAAATAAAATCTCACTTATTCAAACATAGTGGTCACAAATTTTTCAATGTTAACTCTTAGGAATACAGGCAAAATAACAATGGAAGCAAAACTTTAATGAGAAGCAAAAAATATATGCCACAAAGAGTATATTAACTTGTTTACTCACAGGCAAGCTCCTTGGACGTTCCCTCAAGCCTTTTGATTCTTACTTGAGACATAGTTCCAACATATGCTTAGTTGCCTAATTTCTTAGCCTATGGCAGATTAGAAGGCTTGGTAGATAGGAGATGGACTAGAAGTTTCAGTAAATGTTAGCTGGAAGTGAGGGACAAATTACAAAAGTAAGTTTGTTTCTATTTTGTTTGTTGGTTTATTTTATATTTTATATTCCACATAATGAGTGAAATCATATGGTATTTGTCTATCCCTGTCTGACTTATTTCACTTGGCATAATACCCTCTAGGTCCATTCATGTTGTCCCAAATGTTAAAATTTCAGCCTTTTTTATGGCTGAGTAATATTCCATTTTATCATTTTATATATATATCACACCTTCTTTATCCAGTCATCTGTTGATGGACACTTAGGTTGCTTCCATATCTTGGCTATTGTGAATAATGCTGCAATGAATATAGGGGTGCATATATCCTTTTGAATTAGTGTTTGGGTTTCTTTGGATAAATACACAGAAGTAAGACATGAGAAATTAGTCTTAATCTTAGGTAGATGCAATAATTGAAATATAATATTTAACAGTTGTCAATTTTGTTGGAAATTTTAATGTTATTCTTTAAAAGGGTTGCATTATGGTATACTCTACTTTAAAAGGGGACTGGCATGCAATGATGAGTTTTAGAAACATGTCCATTCAATATAATTAGAATATAAATTTTGGTTTGGTAAGAGGCAAGCTTCAGTTATCTGGAAATTTTACTTAATATGGAATGATTTATTCCTCATGATACTGCATAAATTAAGAATCCATTGTGATTAGAAACTGGATTTTTAAAATGGCATTCTTCTTTTGTTGCTACGATATAAAGAGACTAATCATACATGGTGTACTAGTTTGCTAGTGCCTTCATAACAGATACCACAGACTGGGTGGCTTAAACAATAGAAATCTTTTTCCAACCAGTTCCAGAGGCTAGAAGTCCAAGATCAAGGTATTGGCAGAGTTTTTCTGAAGCCTCTCTCCTTGGCAGGTAGATGGCTAACTTCTATAACTGTCTTCACAGAGCCTTTTCTCTGTTTCTGTGTCCTAATCTCCTCTTCATATAAAGACACAAGTCATACTGGATTAG